AGAATTTGTCCAGTCTTGAGGTCATGAGGGCGTGAGTGACTGTTGCGAGTGCCTCCTGGTTCAGGTAGGGGCGCAACTGGTGCACCAGGCGAATCTGGGCAAATGTCCCCCTGGTCATAGCCGACAGGTGATGTTCTAAAGTCAGTTGTGGGTCCAGGAGGACTCCCAAGTTGCGCGCCCTGTCTGAGAGGCGTAAATTTTCACCCCCCAGCCTGAGTGATGGAATACTGGCCAAATTCTTGGGAGGAAAACACAACAGCCACTCGGTCTGTTACAAACAGAATACAAGAACAAAAACACCCAACACTTCAAATTCATATTATACTAAGCAGGATTAATTTTAACTGTGGTTGAGGAACAAGGCACATTGGCTGGGTTCACATATCACACTAAGGAGAAACAAAGGCGACATTGCAGCATAGCCCAATTTAGAAACTTGGGGGAAATGGCTAAACTTTCCAGTGTGATTTCAGGGTTCTGAGGTATCAACAGGGTTGCCAAGGGATCACATAAAACCCACTGGTTTTCAGTCACCCACTATAGCCTTGGAAATTACTTTCACAGCATGTAAGTAGGTTGGTAAAGGAGAAAATGTCCCCTCCTTCAGATAAGCAGATAACTACCATTTCTCACTCTGTCAGAGTCTCATAAATCCACCTACACTTATGAAGAGATGATAATGGTCATGAGCTGACCTGATAGAAACTTCCTGACAAATGTATAGATCTAGTTCCTGAGGTAAAAAAGAAAAAACTAGTGCAATTGAATGGCCCGAGAGAAATAGTCAATGGCTGCTTGTTCTAGGTTTCAAAAGCTAAAGACATCTAGTCACTCTGCAATCAATATGAAATTAACAGTACATTTTTAATCATTAACACAGTGTGATTGCTGTAAAATCCCTTTCCAAAGTTCCCAGCTGCTTCTTCTGTGGGAGAGGAAGAAAAATCACCTGATTTTCCAACCTACTTCTCTTCTTTCTTCTGTCCAGTACCTTATTGATATTATCACTTGAATCAGATCAGTGTTAGGGGTTTTTTCCACTGACTCAGTAAGTTAAACTGTATCTATCTTCCTTCAAATATTAGCATTAAAAATCAATATTTGACTGCAATACTACATAGGATTTTTTGTCGAGTGACAGTATTGGTAACAAAATTACCCACAATCACAAGGCTCTAAGGAGTACTTAAGAGTAATATTTTTAACTCATATGCTGAAATTGAATGACAGCAGAAAACTGTCAACAAAAATATTAATATTAATTATCCATGACTTGCATATTACAGAACTTGCACAGTCAGTTGAATTAATCAAATAGAAGTTTATTGCTATTATGAGCCTTTAATAATTGGGACTGCAACAAAATGTTTCAGTATGAAATTATTTTGTTCAGGTGTGCTTATTCACCATTTCATTCCACTTTTATCAAATTTTTTGCCCCAACCTCAAATAGCAACTATCCAATGACCATGTACTCTCTTAAGAAATTGAAGAGGGCAATGTTTCTCCTATTTGTGAATGTATTCCTCTGAATGGGTAGCATTAATACTGCTGATTCATTCATTCTACATTTATACACTTACATTCTTAGTCAATTCCTTATCACACACATTACTTTTGTTACTGGAATTATTCAAAATCCCAGGTTATGTTTTGTTTAACATGATTTATAGCAATATGTAAATGTAGTTGTCCTCCCTTCCAAACGTCCTCCCTTCCAAAAATACTTTTTTCCAATCAGTTTCTATTTGCTGTTTTATTCTTTTTTTGTCAATTCTCTGGGCACTGAGCAATTCTCGTTCTTTTCCAAAATCTTTTTCTTTCTCTTAATCTCCTATTAATTTCTGTCTGTCTGTGTTTGTCTGTCTTTATCTGTCTCTCTCACACATGTCATTTTAATTCAGTTTACAAAAGCATTCAAAACATCTTCTTACTTTTTTGCATAGTGTATTTAATTAATAGAAAACAATTGTAAGCAGCTGCTTAAAAATCACCCAATAGATGCAAAGCAGCATAAACTGAAATTCAACCACAAATGTAATTTAACAGGTGCATTGTTCCCTGAACATTATATTATAAACAGTTTTATAACAACATTCTTATTCCAGCCCACAGGTAATGCTAAAATCTGTTGATTTGAAAGTAATTTTTATTACAATGAAAACTAACATTATAACCAAACAGATCAATTGACATAACTGTTAACTTCAGAATTAAAAGGAAAGATTCCATTATAAATAAATTAACTTTTTAATTTAAAGTTCTGCCATTCATTTTACCTTAATGGCATGTTTTAGTGCATGTGCATCATAAATCTGTTCAGGTCTCATCAGGGAAACTATGAGCGTTTCCAGTTTGCCTGTAAGTTCCGATTTAAGGTCATCGACCAAATCCTAAATGACAGAATAAAGAATAAGTAATTAATGAGAAATACATATCAATACCAGTATTTCAGTTCTAATTATTCCATCTAGACCTTGCCATATTAATATTCCATATAAATATTGGGAGATATGTATATATACTAGTGGTGGTTTTCCATATTTTTTTTTCCTACTGGTTTGCTCGTGCACGCATGCACAGCAGCGTATGGGTGGCTGGGTAGAGTCTCCTGCCGCCACTACTACCACTTCATACGATCCGGGCCGAACCTGGAGCAACCCACCTCTGATATATATATATATATATATATATTAATTTTTGCGAAAAATGGGCCGTTTTGGGAGATTTGCAGAATGCAAAACCTTTTTTTTAAATTTGCCTCTTTAAAACGTCATATACTCCGGTGCGTCTTATACTCTGAAATATATATATATATATATATATATATATATATATATATATATATATATATATATANAGCTCGCGGAGGATAGGTGTAACGTGGGTGTACCGACGTGCACCCACAATCGCTCGCGCGGCTGCATTCTGGACAAGTTGAAGTCTCCGAATACTCTTCAAGGGCTGCCCCATGTAGCCTTTCTTCTTCATTGTTAGAAGAAAGGCTTGTCATGAATAACAAAATACAGGCACAAATTTCCAAATATATAAAAACCTGCTTTCAAAAACTCCACTCAGGATGAAAAAGTCAGGTACTTCTTGTGCTTTTTAAAAGAAGCTTTAAGCTGTTCGTTGGGCTGCCTTTGCTGTCTATCTGAACCATAAAAATCTTTGATATTATCTTCCAAAGATGGTTCAGCTTTTTTGGCTCGGGTATGATCCCTTCTACCTTCAGTAAAGTATAGCTTGATATGGTATTATATAGTATTTGACATGGACCCTCCTACATAGGCTGCAAAGGGTCATCTCATCTGGCATCCACAATTCCACCTGCAACCCAGCTCCTAAAACCTCAAGGTAGAGAAACATCGTAGCTATAAGTAAGAACTAGGCAAATTTCTACTAATCCTACATTTTCTAGGACATCTCCAAATACTTTAGATCAGTGGTGGGTTGCAGGTGGTACACCTCGGTATGGGCATACCAGAGCCTGCCCAGAGCACTGGATACCGTTCTGGTACGGTGCTCCAAAGGGGCCACCCACGCGAGCTCCTTACCTGTCTTATAAGGCTTCCGCACATGCATATGGTGCATACAGCGCCTGCACGATGCTCCATGGAGTGTACTGGTTGGAACGGGATCTGGAACCCACCACTGCTTTAGATCCTCCAGCAATTCCATCTTCTGAAGGAGGAAAAGAGATAGAAATTCCATTATATGTTTCCTTATGACAGTGTGATTCCTACTATCCTAACAGTTTCTATGCCACCTTCCGCTGGCTAAGTATTACTGTTAAATTTTGAAAAGAAGCTGCTTTGACACTTCCAGAGGCCTTATCAAAATTGGCAAGTTTGTCCCATGGAAGGATTGGCCACTTCATGGCCAGGGAAAACACTAATCCCTCTTTTCTGCTTCCTTTTTTACTCATGGAGTAGAGGAAAGTAAGCTAGTGGTCTCAAGAGGTGCCAAAATCAGTTGGAGAAAATTTGTTTCACAGTAAAATTGAAACTAGAACATATAAACAAACAAGGTACTCCCTTGTCTGTTTATATGCGCTTTTGTGGAAACGTTATCCATGAGGACTAAAGCATGTTTGCCCACCACAGAACGGTGGAACTGTCTTGGAGCCAGGTGAACACCCACAATTCTAACCAGTTTATACTGTGGAGTCGATCCTCCTGGCTCCACAGGCCCTGAGTCATTTGGGACTGGATGTGCCCCCCCCAAGCCAGTCAAACTAGCATCTATAGTTGCTCTTTAGGTACCGGCTGGATGGCCCGAATGTCCAGCAAATGCTGGATTGCCTTCTGCAGTAGAGCCTGCTTAGCCGGGTTTCTGGAGACTGGGCAGGTCCGGAAAAACCTGGGGGGGGTGGAGAGAAACTTGAGGGAAAGCCCCTGCCTGACTGTGTGCCTGANAGAAAGGCTTGCACACAAGGCTCCACAAATTCAACACTTGTTCCTGACAAATGTCCCTTCCCCCAGGGACATCTCAGTCCCCAGGTGTGCCTTGTGAAGGGGAGCGGGCACTCTCCTGCCTCATAGCTGACTCAGTCTGTGTTGTTCTCGCCTTCTCTCTTCTCTCCATGCTCTAGGATCAGGATGAGGTAGTCCTTGCTCTTCATCGAGCTCTGTCTCTCTTGCTTCTCCCTGTCTGCAAGCCTTTCTAATCCTGAAAAGCCTTACCTAGGCTGACTCTGCCCTTCCCGACTTTCCTCCAAGGCCAATGGAGCCACCCTCTCACTCTGTTGGCTCTTGTTCCAGCTCAACTTCCCCCGCAAATTCAGACTCCGATGGGAGTGTGACACTTAACAACTGCAGTGATTCGCTTAACAACTGCAGCAGGCAAGGTCACAAAATGGGGCAAAACTCATTTAATCACTGTCTCACTAAACAGGAGAAATTTTGCACTCAATTGTAGTCGTAAGTCGAGGCTTATCTATACACAGATGTATCTACATAAGCTTCACCTCCCAAAAATCTCTTTATCTTTTAAAAAAAATGAAGCTTATATTAATGGAATCTCTCTGCTCCTGGCACATCAACAGAGAGAGGGGATGTGTTTTTGGGTAAGAACTTTGCTTCCATATAAGCATTAGCAAATACACTAGCTAGCCCACCATTGAGACTCACAGCTAACTATTAAACAAATGACCATGTTTGGCTGGAAGTTGTATCAGCAACACTGCATATGTGTAATATGTTTTAGTCACCAGGGGACACATAAAGATAAGGATAAAATGTTATTCTTGTATCCCTTTGTAATGTTATTGCACCATTTCTTGATGATGTACAATGTCCTCCCCAATTCTGAGCCATAATAAATATGATTACTACACCAACTAAGAATAATCTTTATTGTACATGCTGAAGATCACTTTGTGTGCTAATTACACTGCGTGATGCAGTGCCAAACAACTCCTAGTTGGATTCTGAATTTAAGATACATGGGCAGCAACTCACCAAATAATATGAGCAGCTGGGAGTGAATCTGGCATACCATTTTAAGCACATTATGTGTAAAATACAGGACTGGGATCCAACTGCTGTCTCTTACCAATTCCCCTCTGCTGCAATAAATACCAAGCAATTTAAAAACAAAGAAATTCAATGAAATTGAGTAAATGAAAAATTTGAATTAGCCATGCCTAGTTAATAGTACTCGTGTTTAAGTCCCGTTGAAAGTAAGGACTGTGTCTATGACTGAAATGTTTCTTTAAAAATCATACCCAGCCAAGTATGTCATGTTTAACTTTTGTAGTAAGTGGGACATATTTAAATCCTATGATTTAATGACCGAGAGGTCCTTGGTGCTCTCTGAGCTTGGTTGTTTTTTGCAGACTTCCTGGCCCAAACTACCGTAGGTAACATCATCAGTCACTGATGAAGTCATGAAAATGTCTGCAAGAAAACAACCAAACTTAAAGAGCACCAAGGGCCCCTCATTTCAACCCTGAACTATATTCTCCATCAATTTAGTGTCTGATTTGCAATTCTTCTTGGCACAAAATTGGAAAATAGCAACAATCACTGCTGATAGGTTTAGTATTTATGGTCAATTATGTAAGATCTCCAACTTTCAAGCTACCGCAATAGTATTAAATTGAAACATCCCAGAATATCGTTGTTCTGTTCTTACCCATCTTGAGGATGTTAAATTGTGACATCAGGATTGCGGATTTTAAAAAAGAACGCAACATGTTGACATCTTGTTTCCAACGGCACGTCAGAGGTTAGCTTCTTCATACATTGAGCCTCAGTCAAAGGATTCAATATTACCCGCAAACTCATCCCGCAAAATATGGATTCTTGGGTTGATCACACACGAGGCTCTTAGAAATCCCAACTCTATAATGATCCCAAAAGCAATTGGGAACCAACATAAAGGACTTTTTGGCGAAAGGGGGATAAATAGCAAGGTTGAAGGCGGGGAAAAAAAAAAAGAAAATGGCCAATTGGAATGAACTTTAAATGAAGTTGTCAGGGTAAAATCCTGCTTGCAGCCTCAACCTTTTTAGTAAATGGATTGTGGGAACACCAACTTTTGCAACTGTTATAAGATCATCCTTCCATCCAAATATCCCTCCATCCCTCCATGCACCCACCCAAACATCCAAATATCCATTCATTGATCTATCCACCTACCCACCCAAACATCCATGTATCCATCCAAATATCCATGTACCCTCCCACCCACCCATTCATCCAAATATCCATCCATCCATCCACCGATCCACCCACCCATTCATCCAAATATCAATTCATTGATCCATTCACCTACCCACCCAAACATCCATGCATTCATCTATGCACCCAACGATCCACCCACCCATTCATCCAAATATCCATCCATCCATGCACCCACCCAAATATCCACCCACCCATTCATCCAAATATCCATCTACCTGCCCACCCAAACATCCACACATCTATCCAAATATCCATCCACCCACCCAAACATCCATCCATGCATCCAAATATCCATCCATCCATCCATCCTTCCCCCACCGTGCATCACCATTTTTAACATAGTTGAAACAGCTGTGCCATTTTTCTGAACAGACACATTTTCGTGTACTTGAGCACGTTATTTTTTCCATGCTCTTTTTTTAAAAGCAAAAGAGGCCACCATAAATCTGGAATTCGGCAGCCACCCAATATTAAAACTGCTCAGGAACAAATATATTACTAACGTTTACTAAAATAAGGTTATTTACTAAAAAAAAAATGATACAGTGACATAAACTTGTGTACAGAACAAAGCAATTCATGGTAAACATAAGGCACCTTTTAAAACTGATGTGATACAAAAAAAAATTGCCCAGTACATTTTAAAAACATTCTGTCTGGCATCTGTAACAAAAGGAATATAATCAAGCTGCTGTTTTCACCCTCTCTTCTTTATTTACATGGTTTCTAAAGTCAGCTACATTATTCTTTCTGTATACAATATAATACATTTTTATATAAGGCAGGAATAAGCCAGCGCATGTAAGAGTAGTGAACTTCTAGACTGCATTCAAGGTCATTAGGCAAAACTATAATGAGATGATTTGAGTTTGGACAAAAAGCATTCTTCGTTCGAGGTTCGAGGTTCATTTTATTTATATGCCGCCCTATTCCCAGCCGGATTCAGGGCGATGCACAAACCCAAGGAGGGGAAGGGAAACACAAAAACTACAATAAAAAGTACAGAGCATTTAAAACAACCAACAGCTACACGATTCGAGAGGGGAACGGAACTCATCGACCCCAGGCCTGCCGACACAGCCAGGTTTTAACGGCTTTTTGGAAGGTCTGAAGAGAGGTGAGGGTCCGAATCTCTGCAGGGAGCTCGTTCCAAAGGGCCAGAGCCGCCACAGAGAAGGCCCTCCCCCGGGTAGTGGCTAGATGTCATTGGCTAGTAGACGGAACCCGGAGGAGGCCTACCCTGTGTGATCTAATGGGTCTTTGGGAGGTAATTGGCAGCAGGCGGTCTCTCAAGTACCCAGGTCCAATACCATGAAGGGTTTTATAAGTGACGACTAGCACCTTGAAGCGTATCCGGAGACCAATCGGTAACCAGTGCAGCTTGCGGATATGTGTAACGTGGGTGTACCGAGGTGCACCCACAATCGCTCGCGCGGCTGCATTCTGGACGAGCTAAAGTCTCTGAATGCTCTTCAAGAGCTGCCCCATGTAGAGCGCATTGCAGTAGTCCAGTCTTGAGGTCACGAGGGCATGAGTGACTGTTGCGAGTGCCTCCCGGTTCAGGTAGGGACGCAATTGGTGCACCAGGCGAACCTGGGCAAATGCCCCCCTGGTCACAGCCGACAAATGATGTTCTAAGGTCAGCTGTGAGTCCAAGAGGACTCCCAAATTGCGAACCCTGTCTGAGGGACGTAAAATTTCACCCCCCAGCCTGAGTGATGGAGTACTAAATTTTTTGGGAGGGAAACACAACAGCCACTCGGTCTTGTCTGGATTGAGTGCAAGCTTGTTAACCCCCATCCAGATCCTGACAGCTTCCAGGCACTGGCACATCATGTCAACCGCTTCACTGAGTTGGCACGGGGCGGACAGATACAACTGGGTATTGTCCGCGTACTGATGGTATTTTATCCCGTGCCGCCAAATGATCTCACCCAACGGCTTCATGTAGATGTTAAACAGGAGGGGGGACAGGACCGAACCCTGTGGGACCCCCTATTTCAGGGGCCTAGGGGTCGACCTCTGCCCCCCGACCAACATCAACTGCGACTTGTCCGAGAGGTAGGAGAACCACCGAAGAACGGTGCCTCCCACCCCCACCTCTCGTAACCATCGCAGAAGGATACCATGGTCGATGGTATCGAAGGCCGCTGAGAGGTCAAGAAGCACTAGGACGGAGGCATGACCTCCATCCCTGGCTCTCCAGAGATCATCGGTCAGTGTGAGCAAAGCGGTTTCTGTGCTGAAGCCAGGCTTGAATCCAGACTGAAAGGGATCCAGATAATCGGCTTCATCCAAGGACCGTCGGAGCTGAAAGGCCACCACTTTCTCAACACATTTATTACACCAGTAACAAGCCTTTAAATGAAGAACCCATCCGTTGTTTTTTTTTTAAATGAGGCAAGACAAGACAGGGATATTATTATGGAGGTCTCCCCCCCCCCCAATGTGTCAACATCCTTTTTAGCTCATAGATTTGTCTGCAACAGCCTGTTTCTGGTGATCACCCTGCCTTGTAAACCAGCATTTACCACTACAATGGACTGTGAGAAGACTCACAAGCACTGAAAATTTAGCAAAACATAAGGCAAAGGCCACCTTATATTTAACTGCTGTCACCAGACCATAAAATGGATCAAATCCAAGGCAGTTTCACCCAAGTCTTCCCCATGCACCACCCAGCGGAATTTGGCAACTTTCTCATTTAGGATCGGTTGACACTATGGCAAGTTGATTTTTGCACGCTCTTTCTCTTTCTTTTGACAGCAAAAATCCCAGTGCTTGTGAGAGCTGGAGAGGATTTTTCTGCCCTCCATGCTTTAGGGGTTGTAAACTGAACCAACTGGATCCACTGACAAATGACCCTAAAAAAAGGACACCAATAGAGCGAGAAGCACAGAGGAAATAAGTATGAGAAATTAAAGGTATCCTTTAATACCTTAATAACACATGGTGACACAGTGGTTAGAGTTCAGTCCTGCAGGCTACTTCTGCTTGACTGCTGCCTGCCTGCAACTTGGTAGTTCAAATCTCACCAGGCTCAAGATTGACTCAGCTTTCTGTCCGTCTGAGGTCGGTAAAATGAGGACCCAGATTGTTGGGGGCAATATCCTGATGCTGTAAAACACTTACAGAAGGCTGTAAAGCAGTATATAAGTCTAAGTGCTGTTGCTATCACTGAGATGAGCAAAAGGACTTTGATTGTTTAATAAGATTCGTCCTTTTTGCAAAGGGGGTTTTGTCTCTGAAATTACAGTGACGTTTGGCAGCATTATTCTAATAGAGATCTAAATCTTTCATTTCCTACTCCGTAATTAACGTCTTGTCCCATAGAATGAAAATTAATAGATAACTTCAATGAGCAGAAGGCTCACTGGGAAGATTACAATAGGAGGAACATTTTAGAGTGAAAAAAGGCGAATCTTGCATGGGATTACATGAATGGCTACTAACTATCAAATGCCTACAAGGTAGCCGGACCTGTCTGCTGCTTCTAACACCGTTCATTTCAAGGAGTAAACCATATGGAAATCTTCTTCCCCTAGAATTGGGAACATTTCCCCCCTGATAATTTCAGTATCAATCTTGAGGCTTCCATTCACAAGAGCTTTTTAAGGTGGAAGGTTTTCTTAAAAGCATGGCTCAAAGAAACACACCTGTTGGCCAGGCATCAATCCACAGAGCACATAATGGAAGACATTTACAAAGCGTTTTCGAAGAAGAGGTACGTACTCCCTACTAGTAACTGGACTGAAAAAGCACAATGCACCACTATCGAAACTTTGCAGATTGGGCAGGGCTGTAAGAAGGCCATTAGTTTAAACCAGGGGTCTCCAAACTTGGCAACTTTAAGACTTGTGGACAACAAGTCAACAAGTCCTAAAGTTGCCAAGGTTGGAGACCCCTGGTTTAAAACACAAAGCAAAACCATATTGAATTCTGACAACCTCTGCACAGTTCACTCTTGCTATAATGAACATCTTGTTTCTTTGCTTGCAACATAGCAGCTGAAATGTTCTCAAAGCCCTTCCCTTACACTGCCATCCCTTATGTTAATATCCACTGGCGGTTGGATCAAGCACACCACACAATTTTGCGTAGCCCAGCTTGGCCATCTGTGTTTAGACCTATCGTGTGCCCAAGAAGAGTTTTATCTCACAAGAGGTGGAGACGTTGAGCATCCAATCTCCTTTGCATGCAAAAGTAGGAAATTCTGAATTGTCTTAGAACAACTTAGAATGTCTTAGAACAACCAGCTTTAAGTCGTAAGTTTAACAAAAGGCATCTGATCAGTGTTTCACTCAGATCCACCAAGTGACCTGGGATAAATGTGCACTTCAAAAATGGCAACCTGGGTTGGAAGATATATCAATAAAACTAAGGTGCTGGAAGAGACCTGTTGAATTATATACTAAGTGACTAAACAGCCTGGGGAATATTAAGGATAAGCTGTGCTTTTTTCAATTAAAGAATCAAGGCTGCGAGTATTGTGGCCTTTGGAAGTTGTGAGAGCTTCATCACTGGAGGCTTTCAAGAAGAGAGTGGACAGCTATTTGTCAGAAATGGTGTACGGTCTGCTTGAGTGGAGGGTTGGACTAGATGACCTTTAATGTCCCTTCCAACTCTGTTAATCTGTTATTTTTGGATTGTGAATCATACTGGTGTGGCACCTGGCACATGAGCGGTCCTTATTGAACATAGCAATATGGAAGGTAGACAGAAATCACGGAACGCACAGAGGGTGGGAAAAAACAACTGGTCTACATTAATAATTTGGTTTATCCCAAGTAACTGCTTGTGGGAAACAAGACATAAGGTAAGTTTCAGAACCTTACACTACTTTCTGAGCAATGGACAGAAGAATGGGTCTTCTGCTAAGGACCGCTGGCAAAATGCTGTCCATCATTTGCTGCCTTCCCAATAAATTAATCCGTAGCTTATGCATCTATTATCCGTTCGGAGGAATATGCACTAATACTTAAAGGCATTGCTGAGTGAGCAAGTGACTTAAAGACACGTTAAATAAAATGTGCACACCAAGTTATAAATTAAACAAATACTGCTGTGTATTGCCTGACCCAAAATCCCTTACATGCCATTGTTACTTGAATTCACACTCAAGTTGCATTAAAGCAAGGGTGTCCAACTTCGGCAACTTTAAGCACCCTGGACTTCAATTCCCAGAATTCCCCAGCTAGCCATGCTGGCTAGGGAATTCTGGGAGTTGAAGTCCACAAGTCTAAAAAGTTGCCAAGGATGGACAACCCTGCATTAAATTTTCTACCGAATGCTTCTCCAGGGAAAAATTAAACGCTTGAAGTAACATCCGTGCATCTATTCCAATGCACTATTCCAAAGTGTCACCTTGGACAGGTGTGTTTCTAATGGAACCTAACGACTTTGGAAAATTATTTTCAGATCCCTGCACGGCATGTTTAGACACATACAAAGCTCAGGAAATGAAAGCACTTTGCGTACTGCATAAGTAATTTCCCTTTTCCAAAAACAAAAAACCTTCAAAGAAAAAAAACCAACCAACCAAACCAACCAGCTTTGGCACGGTTTACAGTACAAGATTACAGGCACTTAAAAAATGATCACAGCAATTCTGCGGTTTGATTGATTTCAATCTTCGCATCAAACTTGAAAGGAAGCTGTGCAACAAATGTATAGGGGCTATTTGGATTTCAGGTCATTCTGGACTCAAACACAAGTAACTCTTCTTTCGCATCTCGAAGGCATCGTGGAAAAAATAAGAAACGGTAGCTTTGCACAAAATTGAATGGCTTCTTAAGTACTCCAAACACGGGAGAAAAAGTCCTGGCACAACATTGTAGAAGACTTCAGGGACTGTCCAATTACTTACAAATGTCCCAGACACACAGGCAATTCCATCAAGTCCATCATTAAGGTAGGAGACAAAAAGCTTGATTCTGTTTTTTTCTTCCTTTCTTTCGTTGCTGTTGCATTCATTTAACTTAAGGCTTTCACAGAAAGCGCGATCAATCTGAATGTTCAATTCAGCCCTAAAGAAACCGATGGGACTCTAAAACCGGGATGAAAATCTTAATGCAGCTCAAAATTAGAGAGAGAAAGAAAAAAGACAAGGCCATCCACACATGTATTGTATCGTGTGCGGGGATCCCGTGTTCTTATTAAAATTTAATATTTATTAGCAGCCTGTAGAATTAGCGAGGAAGTGTGGGTTGAAAATCAATGTCCCTTCCTGATCCCACCAAACCTGCTCTGAGTTGAGTGAACAGCACTAAGAGTCCCAAATTCACTTCTATGTGATGTTTCTTTGTCAAATTTTAACGTCTTGCGATTCCACCATCTTGCCCAGCGTTTTCTTAATCCTCAAGGCGGTCAGTCTAGAGGCTGGGTTGTGGGCCCAGCATTCGCACATTAACTTCAGTATGGCTCTTAAACACTGGAAACAGAACAGAAAAGAAAACCTCACAGAAAGGAAATACACCATAATAATATTAACCAACTGTGTAACATACGCCAGCCCCATTATGCCCAATTTACAACTGGTCACACTATCAGAGCGTTCATAACTGCCAGAGACATGGTAACGAGGTCAGCCAATGAATAGGGCTTAGTAACAAGGTCAGCCAATGGGAGCTGAGACAGTAAGGAGCCTGGGCGTGGCTTAGCTGTGCTAAGTTCTGAGAACTGAAATTAGTCTGCTGCTGGAACTGAAACCAATCTCTTCTCTCTACCATGTTGGAAGAACCACTCTTGGTATTGTATATAGTAATATATACATAATATATTATGTATATAAAGAGAAGTGAATCCTGCTGAATCAGTTACCTGTGTGTGCTTTCTGGATTTGATTTCTGCAACAAACTTTGACACACACAAATAAAAATAACATCAGGTCAAGCATGGGAAAACTCCAAAGTACATGAATTGACCAGGAATTCCATAATAATGAAATTCCTGGGCTTAATGAGAGAGAAACACAGATAGAGAAAGGAATGAGAAAAAGGAATGCCAGAAACTAGTAACAGAGGACTACATAGCATAAATTAAAGGATGAAACTACTGTAGTATCCTTTACTTTGGAGTTAATTATGGAAATACCCTTTATTTTGGAGTAAGGGGTAAATAAAAACAACAGAGGCAATAATAATAATACAAACAGGCAAAGAATATAAAAACTAATTTAAGAAGATATCTTTTTAAAAGAGTCTAGTAATGAGAAACCAGATTTTAGGAAATAAAAGTGTTTTAAATATCTACTCTTACTATTTTAAGACAAACAGTGCTTTACATATATGGATAATCCATTGGCAAAAATATTAACAAAGTAACCAACTTCAAAGGTGTCCTTTGAACATTATTACGTTCAAAGTGCTTTGATGTTGCATTAATTATTCAACAAAATGATTTCTCAGAATAACACGATGTGACCAAGTTCTCCAGCACGGTGGATAGGATTGTTTAGTTTTGTTCTAAATTTGAAAGAAAAGCATTTTTTGTGCCTGCTCTAAACTTGTAATCCTGGAGGATGAAGAGATCCCAATCCGAAGCCAGCCAGGAGGCACGGAATCTTTTTGTAAGCAAGAGAAATAAAAAAAACCTGCAATCACAAGAGATTTAATTCCTTGTGTGGAGCTTACCTCATCGCTATTCCATCGATTTGACACCCCCGGACGCAGATGTTTCACACAAACTACCTCTCGCATATCCTCGAACGAGGGATCGCTCGAGACCATGTCATAATAGGGCAGTTGGTATTCTTCGACAATCCCTGCAAGAAATTCATGGCTGCTATAAATATTGGTGTCAGCCTCTGTTTTGCTGCTTGCTTTTCGGCTGCCATTGAAACGGGGAGGAAGGGCATGGTATTTGGGTGAGGGAAATATTCTGTACCGGAGAACTGTTAATTGGGAGTTATTCTCACCATTCATTTGCGCATGTGGAAGGAGGGGAGTTCCCCACCATGGCCAACTGTCCGGCATACCAACCTGATGATGAGTTTTGAAGATGTCTCCCACCTGACAGCTGTGGAGATATACGATTGGACTATGGGCTGGGGTTACCAAGGGGAGGGGAATGGGTCATACATTGATATCTATGCTTGTGCGCGCTTTTATCTCAGATCCAGCTTTGCTTAGCTTCTATTTACTTATAATCAGTAAAAGTACTCTTAATTCTGCAAAATGGAGTTGAGTGGTTTCTTTCTTGGTTACTAAGAGTGAAGCAGCCCTGACAGTAGTAGCCTGCAGTACTGCATTCTAACCACTGCACCACTGAGGCTCTTACATGTTAACTTAAGCCAGGGGTGTCAAACCCAAGGTTCAGGGACCAGATCTGACCCACAGGATGCTTAGATCTGGCCCACGGGGCCACCCCGGAAACAGCGAAGGACTGGCCTGCGGTGCCTCTGTCAGTGAAAACGGAGCTTGGGAGGGCCACGTGTTTTTGCTGGCAGAGGGTTGCAGGAGGCCGCTGCAGCTGAAAACGGAGCTCAGGAGTCCATTTTCACTGGCGGAGTACTCAGGTCACCGCAGGAGCTCCCATCCTGAGGGTCATCGAGCTGTCAATGCCCACCCTGGCCGTGCCC